GTGTAGGGAGTCAGAGTTTAGTTTTTTAAGGAGAAAATTCAAGGGAATTGGGTTTTGATTCTTTTCAGCAAAAATGTTTATTTATTTTACGTGTATTGATGGTTTTATTTGTATTTATGTGAGAATAACATGTGCTGGCAATGGTGACTTTGGTTAAAAAAAACAAAAGTCATTTGGAGTTGTTATGTCCAGGGGCTGCTGTAAAAGTTCATGGTGTGCCGCTGTATTTAGTGCCCGCTCAAACCCTCATTAGCTTTCTCCAGTTTGCCCTGAGTGCCATCTGGTTTCACTCTCAGCACAGCGGAGATGCACAGGCAGCTCCAGAGTCACTCATCCTGTCCACACGCTTGTTGTCATCTCTGGATTTATGTCCTGTTGAATCCAGCCTTGCACCAGGCACTCTGCGGCCCCCACTCCTCTGCACAGAGAGCAGGGTTCTGTTATTAGGAGCCTGACACAGCCCTGCCTTCCACTGGGTTCTGTAGAGGGTTCAGTCCAAGTGCAGACAGGACCAGATTGATCTGATCGTAAACATCAGTTGAGTATGAGCAGAGCCAGCTGGCAAGGCTGGGGCGAGGCAGGACTTGTGCCAGGTTGTCGAGGCTGGAGCCGAACCTGGCCAGTGGGATAGCAGAGGGCTTGTTGGGTGACCCCGGGGAGCTTGGAGTTAGGTCTCAGCCCAGTTGAACAGCTATGGGAGATGTTGGAGCGACGTGTTAGACAGCGTCTCCATCACCATGATCAAAACACCACATAAGGGAACATCTGTTGGAAGAAAGGTGTTCATCCCTCCAGGAGGGTTCAGAGACCTGAAGAGTCAAGGTGAAGCTGTTCTGGTGCACGTGGTGGCCCAGCACCTCACTGCGACTCTTTAGGTTGGGGTGTCCTTTGATTTGTTACCTGTCTGTTTCTGGACAGGAGGAAATGGTGAACACTGTGGAGTCTGCACTATACACTGAAAACTGAGTGCATGTATAGCGCTCCTTAATAAACTGATCAGTGACAGGGGGTTAATACAGTATCATGACCATGTGCACAGTCTAATAAACTTTACAAAGTTCAGGGTTTCTGTCAGAGCAGTGCTGATTGGACTCTGTGGTCACTTTTCTGTATGCAGGGATTTAATCACACTGTGCTTCTTCCCAGGTTTGGAGGTGTCTCCTCCTGGTTTACCTCACTGGGCAGGAATTCATCGCTCCTGCTCTCTGCTGCTTTAATGAGGCTACATTCCTCCCTCTGAGTGTGGAGTCACTGCTGCATCTCCCTGTCAGCACACTCAACACACCTCCTTCATTGTGCATACAATAAAGCTCCTGGCAAGTGTCCTGAAGTTAATGAACAAGGACAACACAGGCATTTGTGAGTTTTATGGGATTCAGGAAACAGAAGAAAATGTGTTTGTATATTGTCCTGGATCAAGAGATGTTTAAAGAAATGTTGCAAAGGTTCAGGGGATGTGGATACAGGGCTATTCGGGCTTTAATATGCTGGACTTAGTAAGATAATTCAATATGACAAGTGGTGTATAGCAGTATTTTATTTTAGGTGGTAATGGACCTAAACGCTGCCACTGAAGAAGAAGACTGCCACGCCCACCACACCTGTCTGCTCCCCCTGATTAGCTCCTTCAGTAGAAATGTTTGCTTGCCATCAGATTTTATTTTCTGTGTTTTGTCAGGCTGGACTTTAAGTAAGGCCTCTGAATGTTCTGTGTTGTTGATAAAATGGGAAACTGAAATAGTTTCATGAGCCATTATCACAAAGAGCAACCGAAAATCTAATTTACATTCTGACATAACCTGCTGTCAGTGTGTGACTGAGCATCTGGATTGACTGAGCTGCGCTGACGAGGCCGCGCACAGCGTCCATTCACTCGGCACAGTTACCATGTTCGGGTTTCTCTGCAGCAGGACCCTGGGGTTTGTTAAGAATATCCAGAGATCTTGTGTGTGGGCCTTGGACTCCTTCTTACTTCAGATGCTGTCAAACGTTACAGCCATCCTGAGCTTTTGGTCCAATATTCTAACAAATATCAGGGTCTGGTGTTCTGTAATGAGGACGTGTCACCTGCTGCAGCGCTGTTTCACTGGTGTGTTAAGGCACAGATGAGT